ATTATTATCAAAAAATAATTTACATGTTTGAATTATTTCATCAATATCATTCGGTGTTGACGGTATCTCGAAAAGACACTTTACCAACATTTGATCCAGAAGAAATGTCAGATGTTCTTTGTTGTAAAGAGCGGTGAATTTAGCTTGTTCTATTGATAATAAAAAAAGAATCACAACTGGGTCTGAACTTCACATTATATTAGGGTCAGAGAAAGTAAAAAGTCTTGACGTTCTTTTCTTACCGAATCGATTTAAGAAAGAAATTTTAAATTAAACTGGAAGTAATCAGAAAAACTTTAGAATATATTTTTCTTGAACAATGGTTTTAAAGTCATTTTGACATGGTTTCCAAAGGTCTTTCTATCTCAGATATTTTTGATTTCTAAGATCTAAAAGTTTGGGTTTTTAGGTGACTTTAGATGCTCTGTCATTAAAGAAGTCAGTTTTGACTGGATAATCGACTTTCTCAGTAATAGAACGGACTGTCTACTAAGGCAAAAAAATCATTTTTTTATGTATTCGAATTGTTTTGACATCTGTACAGGTCTTTGAGTATAGAGGATCTAAAGAGCGTGTGTGTGCATCTGTAAACAAGTCACGCACTTGACACGGCTATGCATAAAGTATTTCTAATGTCGAGGTACCCTAGGACATGTTTTTCACTATCATATATATATGAAATTGTAGCGCAAGAAATTTCTCTATCGAATGGTATATCTATCGTAGTGGCTAGTTGAGAAACGGTGATCACAGGATCCTCGCCGTGGAATAAGCCACCCACTTGTCACGGCTTTCCAGACAGTATTTCTAATGTCAAAGTGCCCTAGGACGCTTTTCTCACTATCGTATATATATGAACTTGTAGTGCGAGAAATTCTCTATCGAATGGTATACCTATCGTAGTGGCTAGTGGATAAATGTGGACCACAGAATCGTCACCGAAAGAAGAGCACAACTTTGACTACAGTAAATTCGACCTAATTTATTCTCAGAGCAACTCTAAGGTCTACCGAGTGCCTAGAAATGTTCTCCTGTTTATCCTGCATCTAACCATGTATGTATCGATGCAATTCAGGCAGGGGCCGATTCCATCAAATAATCGCCCTCGTCCTTTGACAAAATTTTTCATTTCTCTAAATATTTCAAAGGCACATCATCTGATGCAGTTTTTGATGCTGATTGTAAATATCATCATACTTTTTGCTTTTAAGTGAAGTTTTCATGACTACAAAATCTCAAAAAACTGAAAACTCGCGGTTAGTTGGCCATCTTGTTTTCAAGTTTTGGAACTTTTGCACCACTTTTAAAACAAAGTTTTTGCGCTCAGTTTGTGGAAAATTGAATTCTCTATCACATGTGACCTTCAAATTCTTAGCTAAATCCTGAGTGAAGGGTCAAATGTAGCATTTTCTCAAAAATTTTGATCCTTCAAAATCGCAATTCTCCAATTGATATGAGTTTTAAACAGTCACTTCCGACTTCAAAAAAATTAGGAACTATGTGGTTTTCTTTACTTCTTATCAGGCTTTTGAATAAGATGTTGATCGAACAGAACGGATAAAAAATGACGGAGTTATAGTTAAAATATCAGAGATGGCTACTTTTCGCAAATCGACGATGGTACTCATTTTGTAAATTCTATAACTCAGCCAGAATACGCATACGTGGCAGAATATATGTATCTAGTATAAACATTAAAACGATTAAGAGCCAATAATTTGATTAGAATATTCCTTTTTAAATTAACAGCAGCCATAGACTAAACTGAAATCTATTTTATTAAAAAAAGATCTGACGTTTCGACTCTTCATAGAGTGATTTTCAAAGAATATTACAGAACATTACTGTACTTTACGCATGAAATGTTGTGAAAAGAAAGAAGAATTTTGTCTGTATATGTTGTGTGTTACTTGTAAACAGTCAGTCAGTAATTATATTATCAGTCCCTTTTGTTTCACTCTTATTAATATAAGAGTGAAACAAAAGGGACTGACAAGTAACACACAATATATACAGACAAAATTCTTCTTTCTTTTCACAACATTTCATGCGTAAAGTACAGTAATGTTCTGTAATATTCTTTGAAAATCACTCTATGAAGGGTCGAAACGTCAGATCTTTTTTTAATAAAATAGATTTCAGTTTAGTCTATGGCTGCTGTTAATTTAAAAAGGAATATCTAGTATAAAGTTGATGCATCTAGATGTATAGATGGAAGACGAAAAGAGACAAGAGGTGGAGGGGGGAGAAGATGATAGTGAGCCGCTTGCATCTTTAAATCCGGATGCATCGACTTTATACTAGATGTATATATTTTGCCATCCCTCAGAATAAGTCACAAAGTTTTTTTATTTTTCATAATCCCAATTTTGATAGTAGAATCCGAATATGTAATAAAAAGTATATGTCAATTTTTCACTCGTGACCGGTCTTTGGCAAGATACTCGATCGACTGGCGAGGTCTCTCTTAAATGTCTCTATTGAAAACACTAAAATTGGTGTGATTCCGTTACGGAGACTATTTCATTGTTTCTGTTCAAAGTAAGCAACTGTTAATAAAACCAAATAGTGATTTAGGAAGCTCAAACGTTCAGCTTCATTTTTATATAAAAGAGTTGTGTTTTTTTCCTTCTCTTTTCTGTAATTACTCTTTCTGTAAAATTTCTCTTTTCTGTAATTCCGCTACGACATCTACTTTTCGCTACAACGCTTGACCCACACAAAGCGGAATTAAAAGAGCTGATATTTTCACCATAGATTCTACACAAGCTAAGCTACATATGGTGAAGATATCTCGATTAGAACTTCTTTGGTTTAGATATGGTGGTTAAGGCCGAATCCCAGACTGTTGTTCTAGCGGCCAAGCTTTGCTGTTCGATGCCAACAAGCTAGAACCTTGTAACTTTAGGATCTAGTAGCGCTTTTGATGCTCGGTTCAAATGAATATTAAAAAATTTTGTCAAATTCTTCTATGAGTCAAAACCCCGGTAAGTGCTTGGATAAATTGAATTACATATTGTGATCATAATTTTACCCAAGAGTTTCAGCAAGTCCTTCATATTTTAGTAAAACATGCCGGGTAGTCTTCCATTCACGTTATATTTTATATATTTTTGCCCTGAAGATGAGCGTTTGACTGTCAATGATTTTGAGTGAAGTATAGCCAAGAACGAAACAACATTGTAGAATAGTTTAACGTCAAAAATGGATGTCAGATCAGAGCTATAGCTTCATTTTTGTCTAAAGTGCTCAGAGCCGTTCGCAGTGCGTCTTACATACAAAACACAAATAGAAAACGATAGCTCGTGCTAATCATACAAAACTTTACGTGTTCCGCTGTAGGTCAGAAACTATGAGTAAAAATCAGAGTGTGTTGTTTGCACCTTTTCTTCATAAGTACTGGATCAAGACGAAGAAAACTCGCATAGCTCATCTTGCAGGAAAATGTTTGCTGTACAAACCCTACTGGCCATTAAGAAAATCCGTGTGTGTGACCATTTTTTGAATTACTCGAGAACGATAAGAGAGAGAGAGAGATTCGCGGTTCTCATCATTCGATAGCCAATACCCAATTTCATGTTTTTGTAAGAAAAGTATTCCAAAGCTTCTTTTAAAAATTCGGGTTTTCATGAAATCTGTGAAAAACCAGGGCATCACTACAAAATATCAGATAAAGACTGATCGGTATTTTCAATGTCAGTATATAGCCTGATGTGTCCTCTGAGCAATGGAGCTCAAACGAACTTTTAATTTTCAATGGTTGGGTTTGGAACACATTTTTGCTGCGACATATAAAAGAATAAATCGAAATATCGGTTTTCGACCACGCTCTTCTGCCTGGCAACGTTTTTCTCAGTTTTATAAAAGTATTTTTTATCGAAAAGTTTAACGCACAGGTATTAGTGTTGGAAACCCAAATGAGGTACATGCAAAGCTTAAGTATTGATAGCAAATTTATCGGCTATCTCAGTATTAATTCGAACAATACACGAGTGGCATATCAACTCTAATACATCTCCATAATTTGTTTCAGATATAGTGAAGTACACATAGATAATTCTTTATGGCAAAAGAATTTTCACCAGAGACCAAGGAGAATATGCACCGGGTACTTCGCTATCAATACTTAAGTTTTACATGTACCTCATTTGGTTTTCCAACACTAATACCTGTGCGTTAAACTTTTCGATAAAAAGGACTTCTATAAAACCGAGAAAAACATTGCCAGACAGAAGAGCGCAGTCAAAAACCGATATTTTGATTTATTTTTTTATACTATAGTGCTTATCTATGATAAAACGTAGGTCCCAACAAAAAAGTTTCTCAAGCCAAACCATACAAATAAAAGGTTCGCTTAAGTGCCATTACTCAGAGGACACATCAGGCTATATACTGACATTGAAAATATCGATCAATCTTTATCTGATATTTTGGCGTGATGCCCTGGTTTTTCACAGATTTCATGAAAACCCGGATTTTTAAAAGAAGCTACTTACTACACAAAAACATGCAATTGGGTATTGGCTATCGAATGATGAGAACCGCGAATCTCTCTCTCTTATCGTTCTCGAGTTATTCAAAACGGATTTTTTTAATGAACAGTAGCTGTTAGAAAAATTTGTTGCGAAAAAAACGCACAATTTCAGTCGGTTGTAAATGGTGCGTACCTAAGTTAGATAATTCTGAAGAACACTGAACCGGTATCGATCACCGGTTGCTGTAACTCTACCAGTGAGAGTGGGATGCTTGCCCTTAGACTTGTTTTCGAAACTGCAGAGATGCAATCTTATTTAATTAAATGGGGAATAAACGAGAATGTATCATAGTCACATTTCAAAGTACAAATTAGTAGATATTGACTGACTATTTATGAATCTGTTTTTATTTACAAACCACGCTTTCTTTTTACAAAAAAAATTGTCGTTACACAGAAAATGCGACAAAAAATTTAAGTTTCAGCAGGATTATAATGAAATAAAAAGGCCATACAACTATACAGTCTAACCCACAACTGGACGCTGTATCTCTTCGTACTTCAATTGACCATCTACATTTCCAATGTAATCATTTAACTTCAATTCAGCAGGAACCAATGTACCATCTTTTTTTTTTGCCATACACGTTAGAAGACCAGCAGAATCAATCTTGATATTTTGGCATGATCGTGCAAAATCTCCATCATGTTTTCTAATTAAGTTTCCATCTTCATTTCCAATATATTTATTTAAATCTAATATTTGTTCACAATTTGTACCATTTAATTTTCGACATACAGCATGAAGAGTACCATTATTACAACTAACGTTGCTTGAACTATCAGCAAAACCGCACATCGTTGAATTTTGAGGTTGAGAATGACTACCACCCATAATTTGACGTAATATATCTGTAACAAAAATACACATAAAACAAAATAGTCATTGGGGCAGACGGATATCTTCTACCTCTCTGGAAATGGTATTCTTAGAAAAATCTAAACTTATTGATAAAAAGCAGCTGATGACTAATCTTTATATCTATCACATCATCAAGTGAAAGTCGTACAACTTGAAATTATGCATAGTTAAAACAAAGAACATCACACTCACCTAAAACACCACACTTCCCTACATTTTCAAAAAAAAACAGCTCTAAATGTCTTCAAAAAGTCTTAATAAATGTTAACCCATTCACAGTCGAACATAAATAAGAAAAATCCATACTTTTCTTTATATTAAACGATATTGAATTGCTTTTACATTTGAATGAGATCTTCATCAATAATTGCACTCCCAGTATTTTCAAGTTTCTTCCTGTTCCTTAGACTTGACAAAACTGACTTTGTTACCAAAAGACACTCCAATCAATTCTGCCCCCAAAAAAATGTATTGACTGTTTTATTGCAAAATCCGCTGCCGAATAAATGACGTCCAAATAACGACCATTAACGTATTTTGTCATACAGAGCTAAATTTTTCGAATGTTTTCACATACAACAGACCGCGATTGAGTATGCAGATCTGTGTAGTTTCAAGTGCATGCGCTCTTTTTCATCGTACACCAAAATTTGTTTGAATCAAAATATCTGACTCAAAGAATTACTTCTCGGAAATTGGACGAATCAAGACAAATTTAGACATTTCTTGCACATCATAGAAAAGGAATTCTTCTTCAGATCTTACTAATCCAACAATATAGACTATAATAATAAAAAAAGAATTGAGGCTGAACCGATGAAACTTTGACTAAACTAAAGCTGTTTTATCAAAAATTCTACTTTTTAGAAAGTTTGTGAGAACTAATGAATTACTTACTATCTCGCTTCTAACTGCAGAAAGTGTTTTAATTATACAGAACTATTTTACCCGTCTGTAACTCAAGAATCATGTTAGCTTAGAACTTCTAATTTTTTGTGGCTCTAATTTTGTGGCTCACCAAATGCTAATCACCCCACTAGTATGAGGCTCTTTTGCGCGATGGTTCATGAGATACGAGCGTTTCATTTATTTTCTGTAAAATGCGGATAATGAATTTCGCTTGTTGCCTTCTAAAGTACAGCTACTATACAATTGAGAGACACTTTTGAAAATATGAGGTGCTTTCCGAAAGTAAATTTATAACTTAGTCTAGGAATAAAATTTCACTTCAGAACTGCATCAAATACGGAATAAGGGCGTAAAGATCGTTCTTTCTACCATGGAACCTGTATTCAAATCATAATAATGCAAAATTATAATATTGGAAACCTACGGCAAGAAAAACAGATGAAAAAACTTATGTGAAACATTGTCAAGATCATTTTCACTCTCACCTGTTTTACTTATTTCCCGTTCTTTTCACTCCCTATATATTTTTAAGCAAAACTAAGAACATTTGAGATCAGCAGACAAAGCTGCGTCGAATACCATTATCAATTTTTAGACAAAAAATGTTATCGAATATTTTCTCGCCTGATGAACATGAACGTGAAATGATCTTAATTATATTTCACACACTCACCTAATTCTCTCGCCATAGGTTTCCACAATTTATACTTTTCCTTTCGGAAAGCACCCCATATTTTCAAAAGTATCTCTCAGTTGTACAATAGCTGTACTTTAGAAGGCAACAAACGAAATTCACATCGTAGATAGAAGAGTCAAGGCTACATTTTGGTTAAAAAAAGTTTTCATCTCTCTTGGATTAGGAGTTATCCGCATTTTACAGAAAATAAATGAAACGCTCGTATCTCATGAATCATCGCGCAAAAGAGCCTCATACTGGTGGGGTGATCAGCATTTGGTGAGCACTATGACCACAAAAAAATTAGAAGTCCTAAGCTAACATGATTCTTGAGTTACAGAGGGGTAGGATAGTTCTGTATAACTAAAACACTTTCTGCAGTTAGAAACGAGGTAGTAAGTAATTCATTAGTTCTCACAAACTTTCTAAAAAGTAGAATTTTTGATAAAACAGCTTTTAGTCAAAGTTTCAGCCGAAAAATTTAGCTCTGTATGAGAAATACGTTAATCTTCGTTATTTCTGATGTCATTCATTCTTCAGCTTCGGATTTTTTTGCAATAAAACAGTCCATACATTTTCACATACATCCAAGTCTAACGAATAAGTGGAAACTTCAAAATACTCACTCACAGTGTAATAATTTCTAGATCATTTCTTGCAAAAAAAAGTGTTCGAATGAAAGAAAAAATTACTGTAATAGAGTGATGAGACAGTAACGCAGTCACAATATAGTGAGTCATGTCAACCTGTTACTTCAAGTTTCTTATCAAGATCAGAGAGTCTAAAACGTTACATTTTATCTTCAGTAATAAAAAGATACATTACAAAATCACTCGTACAGTTCGTACTCAACCGGTTAAAAATGTATCTGAGAAGTTAGAAAAAAAAGAATTTGTACGTACACACCTTCTACAATATTGATCACTTGTGAATAAAACACATTTGACTGTTCTTTAGTAGTCTTCTTCTTCTAGGCTGTTCTTTTAGTATAGTCAAAAATATTCTAGTGTATTTTGTATGATTCATTACAAGCAAACAGAACAGAAGAAATGAGAAAGTACAAAAATGAGAAAATCGAAGAAACGAGAAAAAGAGTGAAAAAGAAAAGAGAAAATGACATCGACAATACACATTTTTTTTTCTTCTCTCACACTCAGATACTGTATGCTCGAGGACGAGAAAATTGTGCCTATGGTTAGTCTATGATATTTTGTTCTTTTACGTCGTTTCTTGTGTCAGATGGGTTCTGCTTGAAATTAAGCTATAGAACAACACTTTGAAATAACTGATATCTATTTATAATAACCTACTCTACCTATAAATCTGACAAAGCCGTCATTTTTCATAATATGTTGTACGTGTTCTGTTTTAGTTATTATAAAACTGTGATCACATTAGTTCGACTTTTATTCAAGTAAAGGACTCATGTTCTCTCACATACGTCCCTGCTTTCCTTCTTTTCATCGACAACAGTACGTGTAATGTTAGAACATGAATAAATTTTGTGTTGGACACTATTCCCTAATGCTTTACTGACTCCCAGCTTTCTTTCTACTATCTCATTATAAACAAATGTGATACTTATAAAATTATTAGATGACTCACTCTTACATCTCGTCACACTCACAATGCCACAAGACAAATGATGTGATGTCATGAAAACTTCTTCAGTTAATATAATCAGAAATAGAAGCGTGACTTTACCTTTACTTTGCTAAGAAAATGGTAAAGAAACCCTCTACTTTACTTTAGGTAAACGGTATAAATGATATACAAATCATTTACACTTTCTACGGAAATGGTAACTGATTCATTTAGTTTACTTTCCCTGCACAAAATAAAGTAAAGTAAATGGAATTTCTAACGACCAGAGAAAAACATCTATTAATATTCGAATTGAGACGCACCATGACGATGATTCTGATGTTTTATTAGAATCTACAAAATAATCACAGTCGAGCCTGAGACAATAAATTTTGCGAAATAATTATTGTGTAAAATTTTACTGACTCAATATCTGTTTTGGTAATAATTATTCTTGATGGGATTATCGACAAATTAATTGTTCTGCCGTCGTTAGTCTATATATTTTTGGTTCATAGATATTTAAATGGTAGAAATATCAAATTCGTTTTCGTTAAAAGTGCACTCTGACCAAAAATCAATTTTAGATGTCCATTTTTGTCAACATTTTTTATGTTCTAGATTTGCTATCAGTCTTTCGTACTTTTACAGCCACTGTTGCTCATTTTTTATCTATACTAATATCGTATACTAGAACGTGAAAAGTAGAACGGATACTATGACGATCGTATGTTCTATGGTAAGTGTGAGAAAAGAGAAATTTTTACTCATGGAACCATATATCCAAACAATAAGTGAATGTATTTGACCCAGGATAAGATTATGAGAACATTAACACATGCTTTTCTCTGCTTGTTAGAAATTTCATTTCATTCACTTTACTTTTAGTAGGAAAACCCAAAAAAATGATTAGTTCCCATTTACTTGTGGAAAAGCATGGTTTTATAACCGTCATTTCAGACTTTTCATGCTTTCAGTCTTGATTTCCTTTTCCTAACATAGTATATAACTTTATGACGTATTTTTAAGAAGAATAACTCAAATGATTGTGCTCAATTATTTCAATTGGTTAATCAATCCAACAGTCTAGCATCGGTCTAGATAAAACAGTACAATATTGACCTGTCAAAAGCTAGAGGATGCGACATACTGAACTAAACTATCTCAATAAATGCAAGCACTTTCGTTCTCCGTTGATTTTGATAAGAGAAAAACTTCGCAATAATTTTGAAACAAGTACTTTACTTTTGATAATTTGAAAAATTTGTTTTTTTTTAATGTACAATTCCGTAATGCCATATTACTTAGACTTAAGAATTCTATCATAACTACTAGATAGTGTCTACTACAAACTCACACAACCACAAACTTCAGACATGCTTTCATTCTTTTCCAGTGGATGATGCTGTGAGAGCCAAATCATCAATCCGATCATTTTGGAGAAAGATCTTCGCTCGGAAAATGCAGCAAAATTCCTGCTCCCTGTGATTTTGTTGGAATAGACGACCTATTAGAGCTATAGTGGAATTTTGGTATCTAGGCATCTTTTAAGAACCCTTGAAAAACTAAGTCAAGTTTCTAGAAAAGCGGACCATGAAATTTTGCAATCAAATTTGGGATTTTCATATCACATTAAAATTTTCAAACACTACAGGATTTGCATGAACGTATTTATGTATGCGTTTAAGCAGTACTTGAATTACGGTTATAGGTTGTCAAAAAGTCGTAACCTGCATAAAATCGTAATCCAGCATAAACGAGTCAAATGTAGAAAGACTGAAACATTTCTTGAGGCATTTTGATTAGTACACAATTCTCTGCAGGACTATGGAATCTACCTGTTTACTCCGACAGTCATCGAGTAAAAATTTTGTAAAAAATTCGAATTTGTTTCCAAATATTTTGCCAAAAAGGAATTCAGTGAGTGAACTATATCCAAGAATTTTCTGACAAACTTTTTCCGTTGAGCGAAATTTTCCAATCTCACGCGTAGATTATGCATCTCGGATTCTCTGCAAAATCAAGTATTTTAGATTAAAAGCAAACCCTGTAGTGTGTTCGAAAATGTGCCATAGTATTGAGCAGGAGCATTGAGTAAGCGAAAATTTTCTAATAAATTCAAGTTTTCCTGAATTGAACGGTGTTTGTTCAGTTAAAATAAACCATATAGGCCTGATGAACATAAAAAACTGAGTATTCCGCTTATGCATGCTCCTTCTCATTAGTGTTGCTCATTTTGGACACTCTGCAGGTGCTTTTCAATATAAAATACTGGATTTTGTAGAGGTTTGTTTACTATACGAAATGCTGCAAGAAATGTTTTAGTCTTTCTAGACTGGACTACTTTATGCTGCTTTTAAATGAAAAATTTTCTTTAATAAATTTCAAAAATTTGAGTTACTTCAATTTTTCCGCTTGAACTTTTAGTTCTAACAAATAAAACATTATATTTTGTTCAGTTCTATACTTGTTTCATCATATTATGTACTACTGCACGTAGGTTCGATGGACTCACACATCGTCACCGAAACACTAAGTTGTGAAGAGTTTTGCGCATAATACAAATTCAAACTTGAGCGTGTCACTTATAAATTGATTCCTGTTTCACTATGTCTACATATGTAAGTTTAACGAAATTGTTAACGCCAATTTTACCGATAAGCGACATACGCATCATACTGTAAAAATGTGTTTATTTCATTGAAACAAGTGCAAATAATCGAGATTACCACCGGCTATATAAACGCCAGATAGTTTGTGTTCTATTCTGTCCATTGATAAAGCTTACTTTGTTAAAAAAAATCACACAGAAACAGACTTTATATTGCTGCATAAAAGTCAGACTAACGAGACATATTCACTGATCGAATCATTCATAGGGAGAGAAGTGGACGGCAGAATGTTTTACGTAAAAAATGTCGTCTGTTTCGCCGATGTGATCATGAGGAGAAAGTGGTTAGAGACAAAAAAAAAATACATGAAGTGAGTTGAATGAATACAGAAGAGTGGCTGTTGTGCGAATGTGCCTGTCATATTTTCCTAGATAAATAGAAATGCAATGCATTATAAAGGAATAACAACTATTCTAACTCTCTTGCATTGTTCATGTCTTAGATAGTTATTCTTTGTTATTTATACTATATAAACAAATGGAAACATTACACAATCAGTCATTCATTTAATAGGTAAACTTTAGTCCAGTATAGATTATAGTTTAGTCTAATAGAAAAATTGTGGTTATTCAAAGTAAAAGCGTTCGGGTAAGCTCAGATCTTTTCATCAACTAATCAATAGTCAATAATTTCTTCCAATTTAGCAACGTATTAACCTATTTCTAATCAGTAAAGTAGATTTCTGAGAAAAAGTTTTAATTTCCACAGCATTGCTTCTCTCTGAGTTGAGCATGTACTAAATCATATACTTGGTATACTCAGTATCGTTTGTCTATACATTCTGATACATTAAAGACAGATGCTAGGAAAACTACAGATGGAAAAGTAATATCGTAAAGAAAAGTGTATTCTGAAATTATTGACATCGGGACCCCTATTTTGTAGTATGTATTGCTTTTAGTGTCACTGATTACAAAAGAATGCATCCAATTGGATTGGTGATTTTATGCTGTGTAGTTTCTCAGATGAAAGCTGATTGGGAACGTGTGTGGGAGGATAACTTTGATTGGAATGGAGGGGTTGACAAGAACAAATGGGATTTTGATAACGGTGGTGGAGGATGGGGCAATCAGGAGCAACAATTCTACACAGCCAGAAATGAAAATGCTCGGTGTGAACTGTTTCCTAATAGTGCGAATGGACGTTTGATTATAGAAGCTCGTAAAGAAAACTTTGAGAATAGCCGTTTTACATCGGCTCGATTAAAAAGCAAAGCCAGTTGGACTTATGGTCGTTTACAAGTGCGTGCAAAATTACCTACAGGTCGTGGATTGTGGCCCGCAATTTGGATGGTAAGTGAATATTACGTGACACAACTCTTCTGGGTAATCTCACAAAAGCTTACGGCGGATAGCTATGAAAAAGTCAGGAACTGTCAGTTCTGGAAGCTGGAAAAAATAAACGTTAGAAGCTATTCTAGGGTGGTGTTTCCTTTGTTTTTCAATACGTTCAAGAAATGGTTTTATTGATTTCATTTGATACAGAATACTCGTATTTGGCACATAACAGGTGATTGCTTCTTGAAAATAGATAGGAGTGGCTGTACTTCTGGTGCAGAAACGGTATACCTAAACAGATAACATTAGAAACTAGCATACTAGGCTATAAGTGGGACACGGTTGGACACATGCGAACTGGAGAAGATGAAAGTGTGCCGCGGGGAAATATTTCTCTGAACAATACCAGGATGAATTATTAGGAAAACTTTTGCTTACAGTTTTAGCTGCTATACTTCGAATAATGCCTTAGTTTCTTCTACAGTTTGCAGAATTGAAAGTGTCTAATTTTTCTACAGCATTCGGCCGCAGTATGTTATTTAATATTCGGAAATGTCGAAATTGTGTATCAAAAAATGTCTCTTTCTTGAAAGAGGCGACCGAAAAAGCTCTTTGTAGATTGAATTTGCTGAATATCAAATGTTTCCGTTTTAGTTACCTGTGGCTCAAAGCTATGGTAGCCAATATTGGCCGGATAATGGTGAAATAGATGTGATGGAGCAAGTTGGTTTCGGTATGCTATGACATATATAAATTATTCGTAGTAGTAGTTTAATTTTTGTCATTATAGATCCAAATCGCATTGTTTCTAGTGTGCACACTAAAGCAAATAATCATATGCTTAATTCACAACCGACAAATGGTAAGTTAGTATCAACTTATAATCAGAATAAGTCACATACATTGTTTACATTTCGCTTCTGTTTTCTTAGGTGTACAGGTATCTGATGCCACGACAAACTTCAAAATCTACACACTCGATTGGAATGTGAACAAATTAGAAATGTTTGTAGGAGATGAAGGTAATCCGTTGGGACAGCGGATCTTAGTTTGGGATAAACAAAATGACTGGACAAAATGGCCATTTGACAAACCGTTCTTTGCTCTGCTCAACATTGCTGTAGGAGGATCATGGGGTGGTGCTAAGGGTATAGATGAAGGAATTTTTCCAGCACGAATGGAGATTGATTGGGTGCATTATTACCAGTGGCGATAAATGGGAAAAATATAAATTTTGTACTTGTATACAAACTAGTAATGAATGAATGTTAATATTAAAATGAATTTTCGAATAAATAATAATAGATGTGGAGTTACATTTGGTTTCTTGGTCTTGTTCTTACTTATCAAAGGATTTTCGAGGATGTATTGTAGGATTTTTGTGTCATTCAGCATATAGTTTTCCGAAAGGAGAAGAAAGTATAAATCTATTAGTCTATTATCTGTTTTCTCGTACTGTTTGGGCATATAGGAGAACAAAACGCTTGATTCAGCTTTTAACGATTAGGGAAAAGTAGAATTGGTTTTTCTAATTATAGATCGCATACAATTAATACAGAGTCAGGTATATATTAAAAAAACCGAGTATGCGATTTATCACAAACTTCCCCCAAATGTTACGTCGATAGAAAATATTCTAAAGCATGACAATTAGTCCGACCATATATTATGTCGTGGCTTACTCTTATGTACCAGAATTATTCTGCATGTAAGATGGATGTTGATATCGTACGTAGAGAATAAAATTTTTTTTTCTAATCATGGATGCGATACATTAACATTCACACGTTCACCTACAATTGTACATAACTATCGAACTTGAATTTGGATTTTCAATAGGATCTCTGGAAAACCGATTTTCTATAAAACTCTTTCAAGGGAAATCTTAAATGAATTATGGACTACTGAATTTCCAAGTCGAAAGACCTTAGTTGGAAACACCATTTTCTATATGGCGATTTTCGACTTCGGTAAAGTTGAAGAACAATAAATTATGCATCATTTTGTTGAGAATTTTATGCTCTTTCGGCTATGTAATTCAGAAAATTTTTCAGAAAGTTCAAGAGTTGTCTAGAAAACTTATATCGATTTTCCAGAGACTCGTTCGAAGTCCCATACGTTTTGATTTAGATAGATCATGGTTGAATGGACAAGGAAAAATTGCTCTGCATTCGTTGTAGGTTAGTTAGTTAAGTGCCTTATCTGTTGCAGACGTTGGCTAACATGATGCGCCAATTTCTCCGGTCTTGTGCTGCGTGAAGAGAGTCTGTTTTCGCATATCCTTGTTTTTCAATCCAGATGTTCGTGTTTTCGAGGTACTTGATTCTTGGTCGGCCTTTGCCTTTTTTCCCATTGATTTTTCCGCTTAGTACCAGGTGTTCCAAGCAACGTTTACGGATTATATGACCAAGGAATTTCAGTTGCCTATATCGAATGGTATTTAGCAAACATCTTTTCCATTTCGTTCTCCTTAATATTGACTCATTGCTTTCTCTATCCGTCCAAGAAACACTCAGCATCCTTCTTAGGAACCACATTTCAGTAGCCTCCAAGCGTTTTTCCATTTCTTTGTCGATTGTCCAACATTCAGATCCATATAAGAGAACCGACCATACGTAACATTTGAGGATTCTTGTCTTAGTGCTGATCGATATGGTTCTATTTTTCAGAATTGGACTCATCTTTTGGAATGCTTGTTTAGAGAGAGCAATTCTCTTTTTGATGTCTTCATCACATCGTGCATCTGATGTTATGGTAGATCCCAGATAATTGAAGCGAACAACTTGTTTGATTGACTCTCCATTTATATTTCCATTGCATGACGGCGAGGTTTTATTCTTTGAAATACTCATGCATCTCGATTTCTTGACATTGAGTGATAGTCCCATCTTTATGCTTTCTCTTGAGACTATATCAATCATTTTCTGTAGGTCTTCTTCAGTGCTCGCTGTTAATATAGAAAGCGGAATTCAACAAGTTGAACCTATGAGACTCTACAGAAACCTGAGTTTTGAATTAAAGATTGGAGATAAAAGAAATCTATATGTCATTGGATAAAGGACAGCACAGACTAGATACGTTGAAAAAATCCCACTCTCATCATTCTTGTTAACGGAGTAATGACATTTTTTGCTGTTTCTTTGAATTTTCCGTCGTCAGAGTCTTATGCGTAAGCACTCTCGAAAAAGGTTGCTGTATCTCTAAACCCTATGGTTCGATAAGGTTAAAACTTTGGATTTATAGATTTTCACGTATACTCTGTAAGACAAGAACGGTTAGGAAATTATATGAGATTGTTATTGAGCATGCTCTTATGGCATTCTGTCATTTTTCTCGTGAAATGACTCCTAGAGAGTCTTCAGGGTTTTTTTAGCTGAGTGCGTTAGGAGTGTCAGGTTTGTTTGAAAAGGTTAAAGCCGTGGACGTATTAAAAGACCCAGGTCTTCTATTCTGTCTTTTTACTTACAAATTCTTAAAGGGGTCTTCTATTATGTCCTTTAAAAAGTCATGTTTTTGTAGACGTATAATGATAAATTTCGTGAATATCACTATTATCATACTCATTTTGACGGCAGAAAGAACAGAAGAAAATTCCTTGATTCAACCTTAAGACATACATATACAGAAAAATAAAAAAAAACTGACTTTAATAGATGAAATATTAAAAGAGGTCTTCTAATATGTCTTTTACATAATTTATTTCAGAGAGGTCTTCTAATGTGGGGGGTCTTTTAATATGTCCATGGCTTTAGTTCTGTTCTAACGGGATCTATTCCCAACCAATAAAAACAATTGTTGTTTTTTTACTTTATTCGGGGAGAATGAAATTAAGAAATAAACAGCTTTCCTGTAAAATTTGCCGTTTTTGTTTTGACACGCCATGATACACAAATGGTCTATTAGGGACAGAGAGTGATTTGTGAACGATAAAATGCCCTCTTTTCGGTGAAGGTTCTAGAAATTTTTCATGAAGGGTGAGAAAAGTGACTGATATTTCAAATTTTCCCATGCTATGCTCTTTTTGGAATATGAAAGTTTAGCTGTTGTGTCGGTGTTGATACAAATAAAAAAAAGTAAGACTATAAAATGAAGTGAACAGGACATTTTTTTTTAAAATCCTTCTATTAGTTGTTCACTATTAATATCTAAAATATATGTATAACTTTGCTAATCCATTCAAACGATCTTCTGTCATTGCTGATCTCAGATAATTCTTGAATCTTCTTAATGTTGAAAAACTTCGTTCACCGGTAGCTGTGGTTACTGACTCTGTAGCACAAATCTGTAATAAAACTTTAATAATTCGGTCTCAATTGTAGCGATTGACCCAGGCAAACATCACCTATGGGAAAAATCTAGATACATTTAGTCTATAATCGGTGATACACGACTGGTTGCCATCTAGATTTCCAGTTAATAAAGGGGCTTTTAACCAGATGTGTCTGCATGTGTAACTAGCAATAGTTAAATCGATCGATTATTGGGCGATAAATCGATAGCTGCAACTAGAACGCCCGATTAGTAGATTTCTACTATGATTATCCAGTAGTTGCAATCGAGTAAAAATCTAGTAATCTAGATGAATCGAGCGATACTAGATTTATTTTTGACGCTGGAGGAACTGGTAAGATAATCATCATACATCTTGACCGCCTCTTGCAAAAATCTTCGAACTCTCTTTGAGTAATGAATCCGGATATTAATGCGGATATGCTAAATGCCATCCATTGATATTACATCATCAATCAACTGTTTCGAATGTATTATATTGTGAATATTGATATGATTGTGAATATTTTTCTCGTTTCTAGCTCAACAGGTAATTCAACATTCACATATATATTGGTATAATTCATGAAACATAATGACATCTTCATGGTGAGCGATCCATCCAGTGTCACATACAACTGACATATTACGTCAATTCTCGTTCCTCGTAAATACGTGTGATACTATACGCTGATTTTCGTTCATCAATGGTGAGTGTGGTTTAATGCGTATATTATGGTTCGGTGGATGAGCTGGTAGCCCAAGGTCTCCTCTTCCAAACAGCAGTCAAGGAAGACCTTGATTTTCTGAGGTTGGGGCGTTATATGTCCTATGAGCTCCGCGACTTGCACCCGATCACTATTGGCAGCCTTGAAACTGGTGGATTATAGGTACTCGATCTTAAATCGATATTAAAAAATTCACTATTCACTCAAAAAGCATCGGAACAAGTTCAAACCTTCAGAATGTGGAGTCGTTAGGCTCTTCTATGTCGTATTTATAGGAGATGCAAAACGAGATTTTACAAAACTCTAAAGTTTTCTGAAAGGGTTTCTAGAAAATTCATTAAGAAAAATATGCTTTGTCAATCTTATAATCACATCTGGCGAACAAAATTAACCATATCCTGAAGTTTTGAACTTGTTCCGATGTTTTTTGAGTGAATAGTGAATTTTTTAATATTAGGTAAAAACAGCCTGAAAATTCAAATTTTCGTAAAACTCGCTTTTCGCCAGATTTTTAAATTTTTTTCTAAAAGTAAATATTGCCACAAGACTCAACATGATCGATTATCTATGATCCACCAGTTCCCAAGACTACCAATAGTGACCAGGTGCAGCTCGTAGGAATACAACGTCCGAACCGCAGAAATCAAGGTCTTCTTTAACTCATTTGTAAAGGAGACATTGGACTATCACCCCATGAAAAAAAACCGAATGAACTAGTCCTAAAAATATATGACACTCGAGCGAATTTCTTATAGTTGACTGCTGTGGTAAAATATTCTTTAAACGGAAATTATGTCATAACATGTAGGAAGGTTGAAAACGTTGCATCAAAAGGTTTATACATGAGTGTGACTGGAACAGTCATTTGTACAGATCTTAGTGATAGCAGCAATTATTAAAAAAAGCAGTACAATCCTATTGGTTAATTTTTGCACACGACTTGGTTTTCCAAAGATCTGCTAGAAAATCTGTATCAGAAAACTCTTCTGAAAAACATTTTGCTTGTGAAAACATGTCTCCCAGCCTCCTCTTTCATACAGCAAAAACTAGAGCCCTCTGGCTGCTTTCTATCAAAAGTTATTCAAAGAATACTCATGGACCATTATATTTTTGGACGAATAATACAAACATTTTTTTGATTCAAAGCTCACTATGTATTATGTGGTTATTTTTCTTTTTTTCAGCTTTGAAGTATTGAAGAAATCAAAACTAATTGTGTAGCAGTATTACATTATAGACAAGCCCTAGCAATGTTTTTTATCTACAGAATTTTTCAGTCTGCGTTGATAAATATCATTGTAGAAAGTATTATCCTTTAAACCAACGTCATCTTCGTAATACACACTAATGAATTTTTCAGGTTTTAAAAGTATATTAGTTGAAAAGCTGACTGTAGTAAAAAATTCTTAGGTCTTAACGTTATTTTTTCCATTTTACATAACTTCAAAATAAAACGTTTTATTCAAGTTTTCCAACGGTCATATAGTACAATGATTAGACAAAAGAACAGAAGATAGAAAATCAAAATAAATAAAATTTGACTTCCGTGACGTATTGTGAGTGTCTACAATGAATGTTTCGGTTCATTGTGGAATAGTAAAAGCCCGATTAAATAATAATAGTCTGAGTGTGCACACAGTCATTCACTTAACGTTTCGTTGTCCTTCTGCAGCTTTCGCCTGGGTGGTAATGATTGTTGTCGTCGTCGACTGAAGTCGTCGCGCAGCATCGTCACGACCAAGCTGTGCTACCTGATCAGTTATCGTGTCTACATTAGTATTGACTTGTTGTTGAGCTTCCTTCAACACATTTATCTTCATTCGATTAGCCTCTTCATTCACACCGTCGATACGTTTTCGTGCCTGCTCCAGAATAGCTTCTTGCTGTATACTAAGCTCTTTCTCGAGTTGAGCTAGTGTCTCCGCTTTCTCCTGATCTAGCTGATCGACGAAATGTTGAAGTTTGACTTTGTATTCATGTTCGATCGTTGCATTACGTTTGTTTGCGTCAAGAAGAAGCGTTTCTTGGCTGGTTTGGGTTTCGGCGACGATTTTGGCGATAGAAGCTTGCAGAGCATCGCTTATTTCGTCCGTACGCTTTTTTGAATAGTCATCAACTTGAGAATGAGTAGTACCTTAATAAAAAATAAGTATTTTATGATATATATTAAAATGATTGTACAGTTAGAAGACATATGCTAGAATCAGCGCCCTTAAAATAGCACACTCAGTTAACGTTGTTTTCTCATCTGATTTTAAAAGGCAGGTTAGTCTCGAATTATACTGAACTCATTCTGTACAAAAATAAACGTTCCGAAGCTCTGCACTCCCTTCCGTTTTGATTTTAACTTTCTCCAACCCCGAAGAGCTATACTTTTATCAACAGAGGAGCTTGTTTCATTGAGTTTCTTTGTGGCACTCAATTTTGTAGAGCAAACATGTCTACAAAATCTTTCTAAGTTCGTCAGTTCTGAAACAAAGTGCCTGCTAATTACGACTTCCCGAGTTTGAACTATATCTAACATTCGTTTTGTATAAACTAATCCCACAGAAACTATATTTGTTCGAAACTAGATTACTTAGGTACAAGAAATGCACACGGGTTCTGGCGTGAGAACGAAAATTCATGTAACAAAACTAAGTTCACAGTGATGCAAAGCTAAGTAAGACACGTACATCATCACACGATGAAACAAGTATCAACGACTAGATGAAACACCTTTACTTTGAGTATGAAAATTTTCTCGAGTGCTCTGAAAAAGCATACTTACCAAGTTTTTTCATCAATTCATTGATTTTTGCCGAATTTTCCATGTTAACGGTGGAGAATGTTTCTGTTGTGACAACAGATTTGACTCGAACATCATCGCTCAGAGCCGTATGAACTGCAGCTGTTTGAATGCCCGTCGTAGCTTCGACTATCGTACCCTTTTGTTTCGACATGTTTACTTTTGACTGTGACTAATCTTAAACTAAATAAAAGGTTAATTTTGATGCACAAGGTTGAATTTCTTGGTTATGATAAATAATTTTAAAGAAACAAACTGGTGTTTAGCGTGAGCAAACTGCGTCCATAAACAGAAGATGTAAAATTATATATTTTAAAAAGTGCTTGTCAACTCATGATGCAGTTAGCTATCAGTACTTCTTTCTCCTTTTCCATTATTACCGTTCTTTGAACCAAACATTTACTCACAAACAGTTCGAAGAATGTATTCTCTATATATACTTATTTCGTATGTCGTACTTCTGTGTAAACATAAAGTAAAAAGTGAAGGTAAAAATGACTAAAAAAATGCATTATACATTTTTTCTTTTTTGTACTATTCTTTAAGAAAAGGAGAAATACGAATTCCATTTATAACGAAAAAATAGAAAAAAGTGAGAACGAAACTGTAGACTAAATGCATGTGATATATCAATCGTTTGCTAACGGATATCTGAAAAGTATTTCAATACCTTGTAGAAGGGAACGAAAAAAAAAGTCTCTCCTTTTTCTCCTCGCATAAGAATACAGGAAAAGAAACAAGAGTTCAACCAGTATTTTCAGAAGCAGGCAGCAAATTATGCGGACTATTACTTGCATTTCTATGGGATACAGCCATGACAGACAGACATTTTCTATTTCTTGCCAAGCATAAAATTTCACAAGAAATAAGCTAGCTGCACTGAAGAAACGCCCGTTTCTCTATTGACTGACGCTAGCTAAACGAGTAAGGTTTAGCGGGTGCAGCTAACTGCAGCGGAACATACCTGCTAACCTGCTTCAATATTTTTATATTGTATTATACCTAGTTGCAGTGGATTATAAAGCTAGTGTAGCTAGCTGCAGCGGGCGCTACTAGCTTATTTTTTCATCCTTGGGTCCGATATTAGCAGTAGAATATTCGATTATATTTTGTAAATCTTTATGAATTCATATGAACATGTTATTTTCACATGAATTACCTGACTACGTTTAGTATTTGTTCTTTCATGGTAAGCGAATGTATGCTGTGAGATCTTCGCACTGAAAAACAATTGACTGTCATAAGTTCGATGGCATACCGGCTACTTTTAACGAGATGTACGGGATATTTGTTACCGTATATGAAAGTCATATAATCGGTTCCATCGATTAAAATCGCTTCACAATGACACAGCATTTCAATTAATGTTTTTGTCTAATCTTCCATCTAATTTTTTATGTGTTGAATCATAAATTAAAATTCTCTTGAACTGTGCGTTTTCGAATATAATACTGGAACTTCAAACTCCAGTGTTTTTTGCATTGGGTGGTAACATTTTAGCACGCATTTTATAAAAGGACTATCCCGCATAAGACTTGAAATCGGCCCGCCACATTTTATTGCTTCAATGTATCCAGAATTCATAAAAGTCATCTTATTCCATGATGTCGATCCTTTGGAACGGTTCAGAACGAACGTATTCAACCGAATCTACTCCAAGACAAACACCTCCGTCACACTATCAGTATTACGATAAAATTAAAATTGCTCCGCAACTATCCAGTATTTAGCCTAGTGCAATACACCATTCGATGCATCTGCAAGCTTTACAATATATGTTAATGGCAAACTTAACCCTTGTGCACAGCACTTTAGATTGGAAACTCTTCCAGCTGTTCAAATACTTGCTCAAATTTGTTTCAGCTATTATCGTCGACAAGAAAAATCAAAAATAAAGGTGGCAACCAATTTTCGGACCAAGGATAGGTTTAAGCGGCGCAGTATTTAAGATCAAAACCTGCTGCCAAGTTTCGTTAAGTTTCCTATTAACCCGTACAGCGTTTAAAAGCACATCGCATGGTGTGTGAATGATTAGGGATCATCTTCGGTTTCACAGGAAGAAATGATCAGCAGTTGCGGTGCATAGCCAGCATCTCTGGAAAAAACTAGTATTTAATTCACAACGGCCGCTACCAGGCTTGGTTAAGGTTACCATTAACATATATTGTAGAGCTGTTCGAAAACGTGACTTTATTAATTATTTTTGATTTTTCGCTATGAAGGAAGCGTTTTCGAAGCATATGAGAAAAAACAACTTCTGAGACGCGTGTTTTTATTTGATTTCCTTTTACCCATATAGTCTAGGCTATATGCTCTGCTGATCATGAAAGTTTGGTTAAACCATTTTTTGTTTGAACTTTTTCGACTCTTTATAGCGAAGTTCATTCTTATGGCCTATAGCAACGCTCTCATTGGCGCCATAAAAACCAATAGTTACACTATGCAAGACGTAGTGTATCATATGTAATGATCTAACGGCCATGCAATGTCGTTGCTACGGATTCCGTCGAATTTTTGGGGCAGTTTTATTTTCCCTTAAATACATTGCAAAAGAATTCTAATCAATAATTATTCATTTAAAATAAAATTGAGCTTTTAATGGCCTAAATGCACTTGGACTACACTTAGACTACATTAGTGATTTGAATAAATACAGAAGTTTAAAGCACTAATGTAGTCTAAGTGTAGTCCAAGTGCATTTAGGCCATTACGAGCTCAATTTTATTTTAAATGAATAATTATTGATAACGTGTGACACGTGACGTGTCTATCGTATAAATTGTATGTTATATATAATATATACAGACAGAAAGTAGACAAAAATATTTGTATACTCGTTTTTATTGACCATCTGATATCTGAACAGCTCCCCGATAACATATATGAAATAGAAATTCTTAAGAAAAAAGAAAAAAAACGAGTGTCGTTATATTTCTCACTCAAAGGGTACAAACCAATGAGAAAAGAATATGATCTAGCGACAGACGTAGTCTACCTTTCGATTGCAGAACGATTTCTCTGTTTTGATTGACAGAGTTTTCCACGAACCGGATTTCAAAAAATTGATCAATCAAATTTGTTCCTTGCCTTTTTTATACTTGTAACGGCGGCCATTTTTGACGGGAAAAATTGACGGCTAGGGAAACAACCTTTTATGTGTTACTGTCGATGCTAATCTTTCTATTTGTGAGATTCCTAATGTTTGTTCTCAACAGCCTCTTTCGAGGGAAAGATCTTTTCAAGTATTTGATGATAAGAATAATGGGTGTCAATTGTTTTGATCACCAAAAAAAGATACTTTTGATCACCAAACGCTTTTAGATACAAATGATCACCAAATTTTCCGGCATCACATTTTTATACATATAAACATATAAATTTTAACAAAGACAATATTTTCACAGTTTTATTTACATTTATTTACAAATTTAAAGCTTTGCTAACTTTCT